TATATTAAGAACATATATATAAAAGATAAAATGTACAGTTTAATAATGTGCAAAAAGTGTAAGGAATGATTTCCTTAAACTCTACAACGCCTCCCTCAGAGAGTAATATACCTATGACAAGTGTTGCCTTCATTGTTGAGCTCACAGTTTAACCTTGTCTTATAGATCTGTGGAAATGTCACTTAATATGTCTTTAAATGAGGAGGTGACAGAGGAATATGAATTTGATGACAGACAAAGTGTTATTGTCTATTCATAAACCTGGTGATGGATACTCTAAATATATCAGTACTTGATATAGGCACAGTGGATTATAAGAAAGGTTATGGGTTCCACATACACACACTGTCACTCACATACCCAGCAATACATGCCTAAAAAGAATACACACATCCATACACACACAAAATTGCTTGCACTCCAGTTACATGCCTATCTTAAACCTTAGAGAGACACAGTAGCCAGCAGCTCATTTCCATGAATCATCCTCTAAATACTGTGTCTGACACTGTATCAGCCCATCTGTTTAAGTCTGTGAATCTACTGGAGCCTGTGCCTTGCATCCAACAGAACTATGAAACATATGTTGTGGTGTCTTAGATTGTCTTTAAGACAGAAGTTGTGCACCATGCATGTCTTCCAACAGCAGATGTTGGTATGTATGTGTTAGGACAGGGGTTCCCAACCTTTTTCCTTAAGGGAACCCTATTTCATCACTGAGTAAACTAAAATAAATAAAAAAAATTTTTCAAAAGGCTTTTAAAGTATGACCTTTGATGACGAAATACCTCTACTAAATGACAGAACACAGAGAATACTGACTGATTTGTCAGTATTATTATTTGTGTGTGTGTGTTTAGGGTCATTTTAGGGGGACGCAGCAAAGGGCCATAGGCACATGGGATGCCAGCTTAAGCAGATGAGCTATCAGGACACCCAATTATGTGTAGAATTAGAATTATTAGTATAAAATATAATTTATAGTAATATATAACATAAAATTGTATTTGCCATACCAATCGTTGTTATTGCTTGTAAGTCAAAAGATCCATCATCACATAGATTGGCAGTGAGTGACTTGGTCTGAGTCTGCCATGAAGCTGGTCTGCTCATGAAATTAATACTAAATCACAAAAGTTTTTGAAAAAATAATCCAGGCAGGTTACGTTTAACAGGACATCAATTGAAAAACCATATAGTAATATATAAATATAATTTCTGGGAGACAGTGGTTGCACAGGATTTGCTCAGTCACCAGCTGCTTCTCCAACATTTAGTTGGCTCACATGTGAGGTTCATGCTACCTGCTGCAGCACAGATGTGGCACCTTTTCAAGCTGTTTGAAGCATTCACATGCAGGGCCATATGAGAACCCAGAAGGTGGAAGGAGGTCTGTATACCTGTTGTGTTCAAAAGCGGTGGTTAGCTTGCATTAAATCTTTCTATTCTCTTCCATTCAAACTAAAATGCGACACCCACGTCATGCAGTCACCAGAATGACCCCTCAAGTCTTGTGAGAAAGGTTAGATTGGAGGGTTAACATATGTAAAAACCCACCTGTCAAAATCTGGAATTAGTTTTATTCACTGGTGTTAGAAAGAATGCTTTTGCTTTAGATTTTATAAGTTTTAGAAATTTTAGAATTTATAAAGAAGTTTTATTTTAACTGAAGTTCAGGGCCATAGCCATACTTGAGTGTTTTCCTTTGTGTTTCCTTATGTTTTCACCTGTGTCTTCCAGTGCTCCTCTGTCTGTGTTCTCGGTCTCCTCCTCACTCTGGCTCTAGGCTCTGTTCTCACTGCATCTGTGGCTGTGGCTCAGAGGTATGAGTGGGTTGTCCACTAACTGGATGTAGAAGTGTCCTTGAGCAAGATACTGAACCCCAAATTGCTTCCGATGCTGCATCATTGTGTGAATGTGTATGAATGAGTTAGTATCTGTACGATGGACTTGCCATCACTGTGTGAATGGGTGTGAAAGGGTGAATGTGGCATGTAGTGTAAAACGATTTGAGTGGTCTGAAGACTAGATAGCACTATACAAGTACAGGTCCATTTACCATCTGTTCAGATTCACACTAAAGTCTATTGCATAAAAACGCTAATCCAGAGACAATAAATAAATGTATTTGAATGAACAGTATTAAAGGCTAGGGATGTGAGAATACACTATTTTGATACAATTCACGATACTGGGTTCAGGATACTAGTTTCTGTGATTTTTTTGTAACAAAATGATACTGAAGACAAATTATGAAAGAAAAAGATTTCAGACAAAAATCTACAAAATAGAGTTTCTCTTATATTTTCTTTATCAAATTATAGAATAGAATAGATTCTACAGACCTTTTTTATTTCTGAGGGGTATAAACTGCAAAACAATGCATATTTCCTTTTGTGAACAGGAACTCTTTGCGCCTTGATACCACAGATAATATATTGATTTCAAGTTTACCCTAGCAATAAAAAAGACATTCTTTAATCTTGTTAACCGTCATTTTGCCCATTTTAAGAAAAAGTATCAGTCCAGGCACTGTTTAGATACCAGTGCCGTTTTAGCACTGGTATCAGAAAAAAACAATACCCAACCTTAATTTAATAGCAGCTGATGTTACAAACTAAATCATTCAGATGGACTCATAATTCTTAAGTCAAGTGAGACTATCTTTGTGTAACTCATACAACAGGTCTGGTCAGAGAAAATTCTGAGTTCAAGAAAATTGGTGAATGTGACAGCTTCTCTTACTTGTCACTTAAAGGTCCAGTGTGTGGCATCTAGTGGTGTAGTTGCAGATTCCAACTCCCTTGCTTCACCCTCTCCTTCCAAGAAGAATGGCTTCATCTGGAGCCAATGTTTGATATGTTCTTTCTGGCCGACATGGTGGTTCAACAGGGTGGACCATGTAAGGCGTTCTGCAGCCTCATTGTAAGGTCACAAGATCATAACAATTACTATATGCAGGTGATTATACACTAATGAAAACAGAGTAATGCATATTATATTTCTGCCAGATGGTCCTCCTAAATGTTACACACTGGGCCTTTAAAACATCTGGTCCATTGTCTGCCCTTGCATGTGCTGGCACATATTGCCATGTTGTTTACCAGAGTATGGCTGATAGTTTGCTGGTGTGTGTGTTGGAGATGGGCAGTGTGCCTGGAGAGCAGTTTGGGTTTCAGGCCTTATGGAAAATGCTATTCCAGCCATGTACGGCATGACAAGTGGAGAGAATATCAACGCAAGCTCATGTTACACAGTCAGTTTTGATGGATAGTTGCACACGTCAGAAGAGCTGCTCTCAAGCCTGCGTGCAAGCAAAAAACATTTTAACAGGGAAAAATTGAAGAAAAACCCACAATGGAGGGATTACCATATACATACAGATAGATGTCACAGAACAGACCACCAAAATCACATTGAATACAAATTTTGATGACAAAGTTTATGATACAAACATGATAAAACAAAAAAACATAAAATGTATTTGAAGAAAGTGGATCTATGAACAACTTCAGGTGTTGAGTTGCTAAGTGGGACCTGAGCCATATGACCTTTCTCCACCAGAGGCCCGGAAGGTGACAGGCCACAAAGAGAAAGAACACAGATT